AAAATATGATGAATCTTTAAAAATATTAGATTAAGCACTTACCGTTAATCCACAATATAGCTTTTCTCTTCAATCTAAAGGTATATTATAATCATAATTTTTAGGTTTATGTTTAGAAGAGCAATAAAATTATAAAGAAGCTTTAATTTATTACGAGAAATCATTAAAGATAAATCCAAATGATCAATGGACAATAAACTAAAAGAGTATTGTTAACATATTATATTAGAAATTTGCGAGAATAAATTGAAGCAATAATGAGCATTCAATATTAAAAAATAATTATATTATTATTTCTTTATCAAACTACTTTATTAAAATACTATATAAGTTTGTTCAGAAAAAACTTTTATGATCATAATTAATAATTCTATTTCTAGACGAGAAAAATTAATACAATAATTATCGTACAAGAAATACTTAACATAATGTTAATCATTTATAGAAAGAGTTTCAACTTTTACTATTTTTATTTAATTTATCATTTCATCTTTTATCTTAAAAATTTTTCTATATTCAAGAAGAATATTTGAAATAAAATTATGTCACAAATAAAATCCATCATTCAAAGTCAAAAATCAGATATTTATATTTAAAAAGTTTCTAAATGGATCTATTGAATCTAAAAATTTGATGATCAAATATAAAATTTTTACTAAATAAATAAACTAAATGGATATAGCATATATTTAAACGAAATATCCAAACAGTTCTTTGAAATTTGGATGTGTGTCAACTGAATTCAAAATAATAATCTTAAATCTTATTCTATCTCTCAATGTATTAATATTTTTATTTGATAAATAAATAATTATTCTATTTTCCTATTATAAATAGTAAAATAATTATATCGAATCAACCACTATTCCTTTCCAATACCTAATTACAGGAAAACTATCGTAGTGTCATGAGTTCTTTTAGTCTTTACTATATTAACGGTTCAAAAATAGCTCTTATTCTTTGTTTAGATGTATTTCATAAATTTCTTTATTGTTATAAAAATAAATACGTATAGTAATTCATAATTTAAATTTGAATTTTCAATATTGAAAGAACGATTCAAAAAGTTGTTCCTTAAGAAATATTTTTGATATTCTTTCCAAAAAAATTCTGCTATTATAAACACACTGGTTAAAATTGTAATAGTAATATATTACTTTATCAATAAATCATTGATATTTTTATAAGGTTTATTTAAAAGACATTTAAGGTAAGAATATAAATGTATTAAATTTTCTAAAATCAAAGCTACTTTTGATTATTCACATTTTAATGGCTAACATTTCAATCCTAATAAAAAATAATTCTGGATGTTGATATTCATAAGTGACTTCATGAATTTGTTAAGATGTCTGAAAATGATTAATAATTTACTTTATTACAGAAATGAAAATCTTATGTTTGAGGTAGTAATAATTTTGATTGAGAAATTCATTAAAGAGTAAATGAAAAGTTTATTTTAAAAAGAAAAAGGAAATTACAAATTCTAAAAAATTATTTATTTATTCTTAATTTAATTATTATTAGATTGATAATAATTCTATATAATTATCTAAACAATTATATGATAAAAGTATTCATCTTATTATAATTATTAGGTTATAAATTATATTTGGGATATAAATATCTTGAAGCCATAGAAGTACTAGATCAATCTATATAAAAAGATCCAAATAATCATCAATCATTATGGTGTAAAGGTTAAGTAATAAATAATCAATAGGTGAATGCTTAAGATTATTAAATAAATATGAGGATGCAATCACTTGGTATGACAAAGCATTAATTATTGATACGAAGCATGTTTTTTCTTTATGTGGAAAAGGTAGATTGCATCATAATTTAATTAATAGGTGATAGCTTAAGATTATTAAATAAATATGAGGATGCAATCACTTGGTATGACAAAGCATTAATTATTGATACGAAGCATGTTTTATCTTTATTTGGAAAAGGTAGATTGCATCATAATTTAATTAATAGGTGATAGCTTAAGAGGATTAACCAAATATGAGGATGCAATCACTTGGTATGACAAAGCATTAATTATTGATACGAAGCATGTTTTTTCTTTATGTAGAAAAGGTAGATTGAATCATAATTTAATTAATAGGTGATAGCTTAAGAGGATTAACCAAATATGAGGATGCAATCACTTGGTATGACAAAGCATTAATTATTGATACGAAGCATGTTTTTTCTTTATGTGGAAAAGGTAGATTGCATCATAATTTAATTAATAGGTGATAGCTTAAGA